TTCGGTGTAGGATTTATAGTTTTTAAACTACAACCGTTTGAAGATGGCAACCGCCAGTGAAGTGAGCAAGTTGGAGCAGTTTGTTTTTAACAGCTCTTCTCTTCCCTTGCTGTAGAGTGAGTTGCCATAGGAACCCAGGTGTGTTAGCAGCCAGCAGAGCGACGAAAGCTAGAGTGTGAGTTGTAGACTACTGGTGGAGGCAAGAACACTTCACACAATTTCCCCAGAAATTGTAGATTTTCTAGTTCTTACTATGCTGTGTTAGAAATATAGTCTTGCTTGGCAACTTTGTATAAAAAAAAAATAAAACTTCATTTTCTTTCACACATTTTTAGAAAACTTAATGGAAAAAATAAAATTGCCAAAAAGCTCACAATGTTCACAATAATACTACTACTAATAATAATAATACAATGCTTAGATAGGTTATAGATTTAAGGGGGGGCACTTTAAGGGGGCACCTTGCACTTTAAGGGGGTACCTTGCACTTTAAGGGGGTACTTTTCTTGCACTTTTTTTTTTTTTTTTTTTGCATGGCGTTCTCTGTTAAAATCAGTACTAGACCTTAGGGGTCTGACATGAATTTTAGGCGGACCCCTCCCCATCTTGTTTTTTTTTTTTGTTTTTGTTATATTATTCCTGCCCCTTTGTTTACATTCACCTCTCAGTGGGCAATCCTCGGTTGACCATTGAATGGGCAAGGATACATCACAAGTAGTTAGGATGCTAGCCGTCACTGGCTCCCAAGCAACCAGCTTCAGTGGGAAGCTGTCACATTTTGTAATACCGTTGCCAAATGTTTATCTTCCTGCTTGAGCCAGAGGTTTGGTTCAGCTGAACACCCATTTAGTTAGGCCGTTTATGTATATTATATACGACGCGCTTGTTGGAGCCCAACCTCTGTAGCTGTAAGATAAAGGTGCCAGATGGATATCAGGGATGGATGGATGGAAGCAGTAACACTGAAGCAGCTCTTCTTAGAGTGGAAGCAAGGCTCTAATGCAGTAACAAGAAAAAGAGAGGAAGGCGCCTCTAAGTGCAGTATTAACAATTTATTAGTAGACAATGGAAAATTTGCACTTACAAGATCAACGGTTAAAAAGACTCATCGAGTGGTAATTGGATCCAGGTGGGACATCCAGCCGTCCAGCAGCAAGCTATGCCTATAGGATCAGGAAGTAGAGTCCAGGATGTGCCTGTGCATCAAAAATGAAGCTTGGAGAGCAGAGTCAGATGTAGCAGGTGAAAGGGGCGGTAATGCGTTTCGGAGCATGCTCAATAGGCTCCTTATTCAGACCTCTTGACCTATTGAGCATGCTCCGAAATGCATTACCGCCCCTTTCACCTGCTACATCTGACTCTGCTCTCCGAGCTTCATTTTTGATGCACATGCACATCCTGGACTCTACTTCCTGATCCTATAGGCATAGCTTGCTGCTGGACGGCTGGATGTCCCACTTGGATCCAATTACCACTCGATGAGTCTTTTTAACCGTTGATCTTGTAAGTGCAAATTTTCCATTGTCTACTAATAAATTGTTAATACTGCACTTAAAGGCGCCTTCCTCTCTTTTTCTAGTTAGGCCGTTTGCCCAACCTCTGGAGAAGCAACCTCCAAGAGCTCATCACTGTTGATGTAGATTATGGGGTTCATCTGGCATTATTAGGTTGTGTTTATTACAGAAGCATAGATGTGATAATACTGATTGCGTTTTGGTCGCTTTTCTTCTTCAGACTTGTAGCTGAAGGTTAACATTCAATTATATTTACCGTCTTGGGATGAAAATTAAGAAGGAGCATAAAAACTGAAACACATTGTTGGATTCAGCATTTTTTTTATTCATATCAGACATTTCAGGATTGCTAATGCCTGGTTATGAATAAATCCTCTGGTCACTGCTAAAGGCCATCTTAACCATTTTACGCCCGGTCTATGGCCAAATGGCGTCCGCAAAAATGCATTACCTTTCCGGAGGCCGCCATATGGCGTCCTCCCGCACATGTGCAGTTCACGCGCTTGCAGAGCGGCGCGATCTGTCACCGGCTGTGTACCTCGGACACATCCGATGACAGATCTGAGTACCGGCCCCGTTGCCGGTACCATGTGACCTGCTGTGACCAATCACAGCAGGTCACATGACAGTTGTATACAATGGATGGCTTCATTCATGCCATCCATTGTATACTAGTGCCTAGCTGTGAATGGTCACAGCTAATCACTTGCACATGTCATGTGATTAGCCATGGCCAAATCACAGCTAAGCACAAAAAAAAAAAAAACCTGAATGAATCGATGTCATTCAGGTAAATGCTTGCTAATAGCAAAGTAATTCTTTGCTATAAGCAAATTGTGTTAAAAAAAAAAAAATACTGATCACTTCCCCAAAGTAGTACAATGTTACTATGGTAACATTGTACTACTTTGGACATAGTGAAATATGAAAAAAAAAAATCTTAAAAAAAAATTAAAAAAAAATATAAAATAAAAAAAAAATTAAAAAAAACATATATTTTTTTTTCACACTGTCACCAGTCAGCGTCCCTGTTCACCGCCATGCCAGTTATATGATGACGCTGTACTGCACTGGTGACAGTATGTAAAAAAAAATAGTGAAAATAATTTTTTTTATTTTTTCATTTTCCGAAAAATTATGACAAAAAAATACAACTTCAAAAAACTCGCCATGCCTCTTATGAAGTACGTCGGACTGTCTACTCTGCAAAAAGGGGTCATTTGGGGGATATCTGTACTGTTCTGACATTCTTGGACCTCAAGAAATGAGATGGTCTGTCAGTACTTCAGGATTGATCAATATTCAGATCTATACCATAGTTTGTGAACTCTATAACTTTCCTACAAACTAAATAATACATCCTAATTTGGATTATTTTCACCCAAGACATGTAGCAGAATACATCTCGGCCTAAATTTATGAAGAAAAATTATTTATTTGCAAATTTTTATAACAGAAACAAAGAAAAACGTGTTTTTTTTTTCAAAATTTTCGGTCTTTTTTGTTAATTTAGCAAAAAATAAAAACCCTGGCGGTGATTAAATACCACCTAAAGAAAGCTCTAGTTGTGTGAAGAAAATGATAAAATTTTAGTTTGGGTACAATGTTGTATGACCGCGCAATTGTCATTCAAAGTGTGAGAGCGCTGAAACCTGGAAAATGGCCTGGGCAGGAAGAGGGAAAATTGCCCGGTATTGAATTGGTTAAGAACCAGTAGAGCAGGCGTACACAGTTTATAACAAGACGTAAATAAGAAGTCATGGCCTGGAAGAAGGTTCATGCATATTTCCGGGAGTGGGTTGTGGAGATAAAAGAGAAAACTCCAGATCTTCTCTTGAGATGAACTCTGGATGACTCCGAATGGAAGATGAAAGGGCAAGCTGGTGCCAAAATTTTGACCAGGGTCAGGGAATTTGCCCGCAGTATGACAAAACTTTCTGGTAGAGAATATCGGGGATAATGGCATAACCCCTAGGATTTTCAGATATTTTACTGATTTGGACAGAGGACAATCAGGGGGCGAGTGGGGGTGTCAATGTGGGTAATGGTTGTGTGTGTTTATAAAATGCTGAATCAGGCTATTTTCTATCTATCTTTTCTTGGAGTACAGCCAAAGTACACAACTTGAGGACAGACTTACGTAACTTATCTCTTTACTTCCGTTGTAAATGAATAAGACCTTCACTTCTTTGAGCAATGTATATACTGTATTATTATTTATACTATTAATATTATCAGAGTTCTTTCAGCAGAATATACTTCTCCAAGCACCCTCCAGTGTTATGTGTTACCAGAAGCCTAGGTCTATGCTCACTTGTTCTATGCTAAAGGTTCTGAACTTGAATGTCTTGACAAAGATCACTTGACCAGTGCCTAGGCGTGTGGTTGTGTAAAGAGCATGCACCTCCGGGTCCCCATTGGTTCCTGTTCTCAAGACTGCTTAAATATAGAAGTGATCTGGGAGGAGGACCAAAGGCTTTTTGAAGGGGGGAAAGGGTCTAAACTGGTTGGAACAGGCACAGAGAACATCTGCTCACTCAAGTCTACCTGATCTTGATTTAGGTCAAGGGTGTCAAACTGGCAGCCCTCCAGCTGTTGCCAAACTACAAGTCCCATGAGGCATTGCAAGATTGACAGTTACAAGCATGACTCCCAAAGGCAGAGGCATGATGGGACTTGTAGTTTCGCAACAGCTGGAGGGCCGCCAGTTTGACACCCCTGATTTAGGTGAATGAACCCTCGTATATAACAATGTTGTTTTTATATTTTCCAGGACACGCCACCGAGGAGCCCTTAAAGGATCAACTCACTTTATCTCCAGGTTGTAAAATGGAAGATGAGGACATCACAAGAGATTGTGCCGGAGAAACGACAATGAGCTCCACTATGGACGGTGGACTTCACAGTGTGGATAGATTATCAAATGCCTTTTACTCTGAGCAACCTCCTACTGTGAGGGATGGTGCCGGAATTCAGTGGGAGGTGAAATTTTCCTGTCCTGAATGTGGGGAAAGTTTTAGCTCTGAACTAAGTCTTACTTCACATCAGAGATCTCACTTCGGTGAGAAGCTTCATTCCTGTTCTGAGTGCGGGAAATGTTTCCTTCTTAAATCAGAACTTGTCGTACATTGCAGAGCTCACATGGGCAAGAAGCCAATTTCCTGCCTAGAGTGTGGGAAATGTTTTACAAAGAAATCAGACCTGGTTAGACATCTGAGATCTCACACAGGGGAGAAGCCGTATTCCTGCCCTGAATGTACAAAATGTTTTTCATGGAAATCAGACCTTGTTAAACATCAAAGATTGCACACGGGGGAGAAGTTAAATTCCTGTCCTGAATGTGGGAAATGTTTTATAAAGAAATCAGACTTTGTTGGACATCTGAGATCTCACACGGGGGAGAAGCCGTATTCCTGCCCTGAGTGCTCAAAATGTTTTTCATGGAAATCAGACTTTGTTAGACATCAGAGATCTCACTCTGGGGAGATGCAAAATGCATGTGCTGAATGTGGGAAATGTTTTACAAAGAAATCAGTTCTTGTTAAACATCAGGAATTACACACAGGTGAGAAGCCACATTCCTGCTCCGAATGTGGAAAATATTTTTCATATAAAACAAGCCTTATTAGACACCAGAGATTGCACACAGGAGAGAAGCCATATTCCTGCCCTGAATGTGGAAAATGTTTTACATGGAAGTCACAATTTGTTAGCCATCAGAGATCTCACACAAAGGAGAAGCCGTACCCTTGCCCTGAGTGTGAAAAATGTTTTTCAGATAAATCACACCTTATTAGACATCAGAGATCTCACACAGGAGAGAAGCCGTATTGCTGTCCTGAGTGCGGGAAATGTTTTTCAGCTAAATCAGACCTTGTTAGACATCAGAGATCTCACACGGGGGAGAAGCAAAATTCTTGCCCTGAATGTGGAAAATGTTTTTCAGAGAAATCACACCTGGTTAGACATCAGAAATCTCACATAGGAGAGAAGCCGTATTCTTGCCATGAGTGCGGAAAATGTTTTTCAGTTAAACCACACCTTGTTAGACATCAGAGATCTCATACAGGGGAGAGGCCGTATTCGTGCCCTGATTGTGGAAAATGTTTTTCAGTTAAACCTCACCTTGTTAGACATCAGAGATCTCACACGGGAGAGAAGCCATTTTCTTGTTTTGAGTGTTTGAAATGTTATTCACGGAAATCAGACCTTATTATACATCAGAGATCTCACACGGGGGAGAAGCCTTATTCTTGTGTTGAGTGCAGGAAATGTTTTTCACGGAAGTCACACCTTGTTATACATCAGAGATTCCACACAGGTGAGAAGCCATATTCCTGCACTGAGTGTGGGAAATGTTTTGCACGGAAATCAGTCCTTAATATACATAAGACATCTCATACGTTAATCTGAACCCTATTGAAGTTATTGGGACAATGATCTTTAAAATCTATTCAGGCCATTTTTAAGGCTAATAGGCACATTATTCCCCTGTCGAAGAGGACAAGGGCCTCTTCCCTGTACCCCTAGTCTTGTGATTGTAAGGTCTGCAGGGGAAAAAACAGGATAAGAGTGTTATGCACAGAATGCAGGGGTCAGCAATATTTAATGTACAGAATGCATGGGATAAGAATATGTAATGCATAGTAGGAGTCAGAAGTACAAAACAAAAAGAGTGCATGGGTCAGGGGTGTGTAAGGCACAGTGTAGGGGTAAAGAGAGTGAAAAATTCCCCCCACAAGCAAAACTCTCCCTCCCTTTACCCTTTCAGCAAAAATTCCTACTCCCTCCCCTCAAAAAAAAAAAAAATCCAGCAATGATCTTTGGAATAGCAGAAACCTTGAACCATTTGAATTCTAAGCAACAAAAACAACATGGAATCTCACAGTACCTCTTCTGCAATAAACCACTAACTGTTTTATCAGATTACACTCTGTTTATATTCTGTATATCCACACTTATGTATAGGCAAGGACATAGCTACTCTCCTGAGACTTGGTTACCCATATAAATTAACTGTTCAGTATATGGCGCCTGACTTGCTTCTTCAGCTAATGATGGGGCCCAATCTGTATGGTGGTACACTTACTACTGTCAATTTAAGACTGCATGCAGTGAGATACTTTTAGGCTGTCCAGCATAAGGCAGTCTCCTGTCGTACTGGATCACTGACAGTAGAACAAAACACAGCTGAATCTGCTCACCTGTCCTGGTACATACAAACCTTGTCTTGGACAATTGGCAGTCTGCTGTCCTCTGGAACCCAGCCCCAGTAACTCTGTCCTCACAGTCAGGGTCTCTGGACTCCACTCTGCTGCTCTGTCTCTGGTAAGCACAGACACACCCAGGCAACAGGTCTGTACTGCTGCAGTCTCCAGCAGCAAGACGTTCTCATGGCTCAGTCCTTAGCACTCTGGCCCTTATGAGGCTCTCCCTCAGTGCAGCCCATTAGCCTTCTTTATAGAGAGCTCTCTGCAGGATTACATCTCCGAGGATCCAATGTGGTTGCAAAGTAAGTCCTTCCGCAGCCACCAAATGGCTCAATCACTGCACCAAGGAGGGAGAGGAGCAGGAGCAAGAGGGATTGCACACAGAGTCCACTCTGTCTGCAGCAGACAGCTGCTCTGTCACATACAGGAGTCTCAGCTGCATTGGGGGAGTGAAGGAGTGCGGGAATAGAAAAGCACAGCCTGCTCTTCACAAATGGCCGACAGCACACCCAGCGGGAGAAGAGTTATTAGAGGGGCACAGGAAACAAAGCTTGTGGGCAGCACCTGGCTACACATTCCCCCCACCAGAGAACCTTTGGTCCCCAAAAGAGAGATGTAGTCCCTGACATGGTTATTCCAAGCCCCCAACGATCTACTAATTGGTGGTCATGGGGAAATGTTCTTGCTTTCTAAAGTTTTGAGAATGGTAAGTGAGATGCACCCTTTGAGATGACCAACAGGAGGTCCAGTGCCAGATTACACTCTTCCCTTATAAGGAGGATTCCTTCTTTGTTTTGGTCTATTTCCAGTAGGGTCTTTCCATGGCACTTGCCTAGCAGGAAGAATCGCAAACCCCTTGGACTTGGAGTCCAGAAAAGCACTATGATAAATCGTTGGGAATCTGGAGTCACCCACTACCTAGATCTTGTCCATTCTGAAATGCATCTCTTGAAGGAAATTTAGAGTGTGTGTTTTGAACCTCCGGAATTGCCAAGGAGTCTGGTGCATTTGTCAGCACTTTCAAGTCCTTTGATATTATATGATATTTTGTGAAACATGTGGCATGGTAAAATGGGGTGTGACAATGTGAAGAAGAATGGGAGATAGGGAGAGGGTGTGGGAGGGAAAAAAAGGAGGGGGAGGTGGAAGAAAAGAGAGACTTTTCTTTGTCAGATAACTAATAAGTCATAGGAGGAAAAACCCACTGATAGAAGATGTGGAGGGAAAAACCCTATCATAAAGAGTGGATGTTGTCAGGGTCCGCTGCGGCTCCGTCCCCGGCACATGCGCAATAGCGGCGGCTCACGCCGGGACACAGGCACCAGATCCCGGCTGGGCCGCGGCTGACAGGAGGCCGCGCATGCGCAGTAGGAGCCGCTGGCGCACCTCGGGCGGCCAATGACAGCCCGGGGGCGCGTCCTGGGTGGCCAATGACAGTGCAGGGCGCGATATTTAAAGATGCCCTGCACTGTCACAAATCGCCGCAAGGTCTGACCTGTTACCTGTGTTCCCTGTGCCCTGTGATTGTGACCCGGATAGTTTGACGTTCTGCCTGCTCCTGCCCTGACCCGGATTATCTGACTACGCTGCCTTCTCCTGTGATTGACCCGGATTGTCCCTGACTACGCTGCCTTCTCCTGTGTTTGACCCGGATTGTCCCTGACTACGCTGCCTTCTCCTGTCCCGATCCTCGGCTTGTTTGACCATTCCGCGGACTGACTCCGGTAACTGACCCTGCGTGTGACCTGACCACTCTCTGCCTGCCGTCTCGGTACCTCGCCATTTCCCACGGTGACAACCGCCGGTTTATCCTGCCTGGTCCTGCTGGCCTCCTCACATCTGGCTCTATTCTGTCCTACTCTCATCCCCGGAGGCTCCCTCTGCCACTGGTGGTATTGCTAGGAGGTCGTGACCTGGTCCTGGTTCTGCTCCAAGTCCATCCCCACCATCAGGGGCCCTGGTGAAAACGCAGACCGGGACTTAGACTCCACGCTCCGGGTGATTCTGCCTAGTGGGCTGCCAGAGGTACCACCTGGCGGATCCGTAACAGATGTATAGATAAGACTGAGCAGGACATGACATTTTGGATCCCATCAGTGTGAAAAGAGGGCTAGGTGCAGAATGCTCCTAGTATACCAAGAAGGGGAGAAGTGTCTATTGTGGCAAAAGTGGTCAATCAAAGCATTATTCAAAGGTGCGACAAAGTGGAGGTGGATCCCTGAAAACAGAAATATACTGCAAACCTAGGAACCATTTAACAAACATTATTTATAGGGCAAACTCAGAAATTGTTTCAAAATATTATTTGGGAGGGAACTAAGGGGTCCCACTTCATGTAACAAATGGCATTTCAATTGGGGCTCAAGCCCTACAGACTCTAGTAGGTGGGTGAAAAATCATGTCTTACTAGTAGGTGTCATGGACCCCTTCTCCCATGTTGACCTACATCATGTACTAAAGGGGAGCACCCTCCTAGATAGGTGCTAGGATAAAGTTAGATTTAGTGCTGGCTCACTATATGTATTTTTGTTGGTTATAGTGAGCTTGCCTTGCTGTGTCGCTGCAATTGATTAGTTAGGTCTGTTCAATGTTCTCAGCTGCTTTCAGTCTGGTAACTCCCTCTACTTTCTAGAAATCAGAAGAGCCTTCTGGATTATAGGTGTGGAGCTATGCAGATGGCAGCCTGAATACTTATACAGCCCTGGCCAATCCCAGGGAGCAAGGCCCTGAAGGATGCTGGGTACCTGTATATATTCTCTGAACACACTGAGCTCTGGGTCCATTATGTTATGTGCTTGCTGTTCATGAGGCCTCGGGTTGGTGACCGGAGGGCCTGGATGTTGAAGCTGCTGAGAGCTGAATGAGGGGATGTCTGCTGAAGATCTAGTCTGGTATCACCAGGGGGAAGTGTCTCTTGTGGTTGGAAGGAGGCAACCAGCTCTCCCTGGACCTTTCGTGAGTACAGACTGCTGAGAGATCTTATAGACTTTTTGGCCTGTTGCTGCCCCACCTCTTGTGTACTAGAGAATCAGCTGTGTGTTTACTAAATGGGGCATTAGCTGGTGTCTGGAAGAACTTAGTCTGCCTAGTTCTCTGTTCCACTACAAGCCAAGTCTACAGTTTGCTATATGCAAGGACTTCTGCTTCGGCCTTACAGAAAGGAGCTTACTGTTCTCACTTTGTACATAGAAAACCACACCCTAGACTGATCATTGGAGAAACATGTGAATGAGCTTCTGAACCTGGCTGTGGAGCAAAGCTTATGGGGAAGATCTGGACAGTATTTCTGCAGCTCCCGGGGTGTAGTGCTACATCAGGAAAGGCAAGGCAGTAAATATGTAAATAACTATTTAACTGGTTTCCATCGTGCTATACGGCTACAGCGCAGTTGTGTAATCCTGGGACAACGTCCATGAAAGTCATTCCAGGACATGCACCCAGCCCTGCTGGTGATCGCTGCGTCCTACGGACACAGCTGATCTCAGGGTATGGTAAATGGCCAATCATGGTGGCTTTTTGCCACATGATCAGCTGTGTCCAATGATACAGTGATCACCTGGTAAATACAGTTGCCAGTTATTGGCTGCACTTTCCTCATGTACTGCCGAGAACTGGCAATTGTCAGAGAAGGGATCGGCACTGATGATCAGTGCCATCCACCTGTGCCCAGCAGTGCCACCCATCAGTGCTG